GTTACATGAACCAGGAGAACATCATATATAACATGTTACATTAACCAGGAGAACATCACATATAACATGTTCAGTGAACCAGGAGAACATCATATATAACATGTTACATGAACCAGGAGAACATCATATATAACATGTTCAATGAACCAGGAGAACATCACATGTTCAATGAACCAGGAGAACATCACATATAACATGTTCAATGAACCAGGAGAACATCACATATAACATGTTCAGTGAACCAGGAGAACATCATATATAACATGTTACATGAACCAGGAGAACATCACATATAACATGTTCAGTGAACCAGGAGAACATCATATATAACATGTTACATGAACCAGGAGAACATCATATATAACATGTTACATTAACCAGGAGAACATCATATATAACATGTTACATTAACCAGGAGAAAATCACATGCATGTAACATGTTTTAGTAACCATGGGAACATCACATGTATGTAACATGTTATATTAACCAGTACAACATCACATGTATATAACATGTTAGATTAACCAGTAGAACATCACATGTATGTAACATGTTATATAAACCATGGGAACATCACATGTATGTAACATGTTATATTAACCAGTAGAACATCACATGTATGTAACATGTTATATAAACCATGGGAACATCACATCATATATAACATGTTACAATGAACCAGGAGAACATCATATATATGTAGCATGTTACAGTAACCATGGGAACATCACATGTATGTAACATGTTGTATTAACCATGGGAACATCACATATAACATGTTACATTAACCAGTAGAACATCACATGTATATAACATGTTCAATGAACCAGGAGAACATCATATATAACATGTTACATTAACCAGGAGAACATCATATATATGTAGCATGTTACAGTAACCATGGGAACATCACATGTATGTAACATGTTATATAAACCATGGGAACATCACATGTATATAACATGTTACATTAACCAGGAGAACATCATATATATGTAGCATGTTACAGTAACCATGGGAACATCACATGTATGTAACATTAACCATGGGAACATCACATGTATGTAATATGTTATATTAACCATGGGAACATCACATGTATGTAACATGTTACAGTAACCATGGGAACATCACATGTAACATGTTGACGTGTTCTCAGACTGCCGATCAGCTGCTGGCCCGAGCGGACGCTGCTAAAGCTCTGGCTGGGGAGGCGGCGGAGAAAGGGAAGGCGACTTTCAGAGAGGCCGAAGGCATCCTGGAGGACCTGCGAGGTACTACATATTAACATGTCATAACATATAGGTGTCTCTATATCTAAATATGACTCACTCTAATCTTACATTAATGTGAGTTAAGTTATGTAAATGCTTATAAATCTACCTAACGGTTCTCTCTATTCCGGACGAAAAGAGTTCAGTTTCAACGGGTTTCTTTTAAGGTGTTTGTTAGTTTTAAGGGTTCAATTAAGGAGTAATTATGGGGGTTTTCTTAAGGTCTTTGTACGTTTTCAGGTGGTAAATTAAGAGGTTTCTTTTTAAGGTTTCTTTTCTTTGTTTTAATAGTTAATTTAAGGCTTAATCAAGAGATTTATGTTAAGGTGTTTGTTAGTTTAAAGGGGTACATTAAGCAGTTTTTGTTAAGCTATCTGCTACTTTTAAGTGGTTATTTAATGATTAACTTATAGATTTATTTTAAGGTGGTTTCAGTTTTAAGGGATACATTAAGGACTACTTAAAATGAATCTCTTAGTTTTTAGGGGGGAAATGGGTCCTTTGTGGCTCAATTTAGAGATTTATTTTAAGGTGTTGGTACGTTTTCAGGGGGAAATTAAGGGTTAATTAGGAGGGGTTTTTAAATGTCATTAAGGAGTTTCTGTTAAGGTGTTTGTTCGTGTTTAGATGTTATTGAAGTTTTATCGTAGCGGTTTTTGTGTTTCCGGTGTCTCAGTTAACGTTTCCTCCTGCCTTCTTCTTCTCTTCCTGCAGACTTCGACCGCAGAGTGAACGACAACAAGACGGCGGCGGAGGACGCTCTGAAGAAAATCCCCGCCATCAACGCCACCATCATGGCCGCCAACCAGAAGACGCGGCAGGCGGAGGCGGCGCTCGGAAACGCAGCCGCCGATGCCCGGGAGGCCAAGGCCAAGGCGGAGGACGCGGAGAAGATCGCAGGAAACGTGCAGAAGGTAAAACTAAAGTTACGTATGTTACTAGGGTTTGATGAATCCTGGATGACCGCCAGAGGCCGTGCTTAGCCCTGGATATCTTCTGTCTCGCGCAGGTCGAGTATTTATGTCAAGAAAGTCACGTGTGACCTCGCATGACCCCGGAAAGCATGAGTTCCGGTGTTGTCAACAAGTTCAGTCCTATGGAATATTATCGCGGGAACACGAGATTCCGAGTGACCAAGAACTCTGGTGGTCATCCAGGATTCATAGAACCGTAGTTACATACGTAACTATCGATCTATTTCATCCTTACTGACTTATATCTACAGTCACGAGGAAACCTGAGTACCCACCCTATAGGGGTGGACTAGGTGGACTCTGCAGGAGGACCACACCCAACGGGTGAGGTGCGGCAACATTCACTCTGTAGTATCTGGTAGGGATGTAACGATATGCTGAATATCGCGGTATCGCGATAAATAAATGTCTCAATACCGTCGTGAGACCGCGATATTACATGGTTAATACTTTTTTTTCTTCTTTTTTTTTAAACCTTTATTTAACCAGGTGGTCCCATTGAGATCCTTGATCTCTTTTTCAAGGGAGACCTGTCCAAATGGCAGCAAGTAGGTTACAGCATGAACATAAAACAACAGATAACACATCGTATTTGCAGGGCTACATTTACACACCTAGAGACATTGACAAGTACCAACAGTGTATTTATATCTCGCCCTGTCAATAAGCCTCACCTTCTTGGCAAAAACGGTATTGTTTTTGCAGTGGTGGACAATGCACAGTTTGACCCACTGCTGTCACCCATGGCCAAAGCATATCTCTCTGTCCCACAGAGGTGGCGTTAGACGTTTTCGCTGTCCGTCATTTTGACAGACAGGATCGTAACATTTCTGTCATAATCCAGGGTCTGAACTCGCCACTAACGTGTCGCGCTGACACGGGGGGGGGGTGAGGAGAGCACGATCGTGAACTGTCAACGGGAGGGGGGGTGGTGTCATGCCGTGTTATTCATGCCCATCGAGATATGCATGCACCTCGCGGGAGCGCGCACAGCGTAAAGCAAAAACTCCCAGACATTTCAGTGATCTGTACGGTTTGGAAACTATATCATATCCTTTTGCAGGGCATGCATAACACGGCAAACACCAGAGCCTCGCTGCGGGGAAACTTTGGCGCTGTTCCGAGTTTGTTCTAATCTGTCAAAGTGACAGACTGCTTTCAGATTTTTCCGTCATTGTTAAAATAAATATTCGGTTAACGCGACCCCTGCTGTCCCAGCAACATCAGTACCAAGCGAGAGAGTTCTTTCCACAGCAGGGGATATTGTAAACGCCCAAACATCCCAGCTTCTACCTGGAAATGTGGACATGCTCATATTCCTTATTATCGCGATATTATCGTACCGTGAGTTTTTGGTATCGTTACATCCCTAGTATCTGGCAAATGTGCTCTGGGATGCCCATGTGGCCACGGCACATAACACCCTCCAGGGGCCCACCTCTCAAGGTCGTCCATGACATCGAGACACTCCTGGTAGAGTGGCACTTTACTCCGGGTGGTAAGGGACGGTCATTCGCACTGTATGTATATGGATTTATTTAACATGTGGTTCTTCCTCAGGGCTCGGCGAAGACGAAGGAGGACGCAGAGAAGGCTCTGGAAGAAACCACCCAATTGGACGGGGAGGTGTCGGCCATGATGGAGCAGCTGGACGACGCCGAGCAGGAACTGAACCGCAAGAAGGCCGAGGCGGCGGCGGACATGATGATGGCCGGCATGGTGAGCACTCTCAGATAAATACAGAGCAGTTATTAATCACATGAATGGATTGGGATATATATTATTTTTAAATGCATTACCCTTACAGTTTGAGGGGATTTAATGGCATCATTTAAGGTTCAAATTCACAAGTTCACCCTAAGTTTGTGGTAAAACTAAATCTCAGAAAGCCCTTAAGTGTTAGGGTTTGATGGAAGTTTAGATTTAGAGTTAACGATTGGATACTGAAATATATCTTATGTTCACTTAATGCCTTTACATAGGTCTTGAAATGTAATTAAGGTGTTGGTTGTTGTTGATAAAGTTAAGGGGTTTTACCACTCTGACCTGAAATTCAGTTTCTCTGCACGTTTTATTTATAAAATCTGTTTCCTGCTCCAGGCGTCGGACAACGCGAAGGAGGCGGAGGACAACGCCCGCAAAGCGAAGAGCGCCGTGAAGACGGTGCTGAGCACCATCACCGAACTGCTGGACAAGCTGGGTAACTACACCCCACTCACACTCACGCTTAAGGACAAATCAGATCTCCACTTAAGCATCAAGTTCCCAGAAAGAGCGCCGGGTAATTCTTTAGTGGCCAAACGGTGGAACTACAACTGCTGTGTCCCAAAGATACTTTAGACTTTGGGAAAGAGACGTCTTTGGAGTTAATGATTAGCTAAATGAATACATTATAAAATGTAAGACCTAAAGGGGTCATCAAACACATTTGAAGAGCCTTGTTGTTACCATTGATTTCCAGAGTCTTTTCATGGTGCATAAACCTCATCATGATGAGTGAATGTGTGGACCGCCCGGCGGACCCTCAGATTCAGTATGAGTGAAACACAGAGGCTTGTTTGCACTGAGATGAGCTGAGGTGCCATCAGGTGGTTCATGGTCCTCCTCTCTCCTCAGGAAACATAGATCAGGTGGACCTGAGCAAGCTGAACCAGATGGACGAGTCCCTGAAGCGGGCGAAGGGCTCCATGGGCGCCAGCGATCTGGACCGGAAGCTGACGGAGCTGAGCGACGTGGCTCGCTCTCAGGAGGATCTCATCAACGACTACGACCGGCAGATCGTCCAGATCCGCGCCGACATCAACAACCTGAACGACATCAAGAACACGTTACCGGAGGGCTGCTTCAACACGCCGTCCCTGGAGCGGCCCTAAACCCACCCCCCAGTCCCTCACTTTACCAAAACACTTTCACATTTCTGTCAAAGAAGCCAACATTTCAAGCCACGGTTTTTTTTGTTCTGTAAGAGAAGCAGCTGTTTTAGTTTGGCAGCAGCGTGGTGACGGTAGATGAACTAAGCCGTGCAGAGAGAAAACCCAGAACCACAAACCCGACGTGACTGCACCCGCCAACAGGAACACGTATTACCCATCATCCAACTCTTCCCAGTCTGTCTGCAGCTGCTGGTTCACAACCAGAAAGCACACAGTGAAGGACTCTTCTTCTGCTCCTCCAAAGCCTGCAGTATTTCATTCACCAGCAGAGTGTGTGTGTGTGTGTGTGTGTGTTAGAGCAAACACACACTCTGCTGCAGAGGTTATCTTTTACATCCTGTGTGCACAAGACCCTTAGGATAATAACTTTAAAGCATAAATAAATAATGTGCCACCTTCATGTTGGTAAGTAGTGATTGAAGCCTCCTCAGTAAGTGAAGCCTACATTTACCAGCATGCATTGCGTCACATTCATTTAACGCTGTGCTGTGACAGTGACATCTCCTGCTGTAGTTGAACCTGATTGGACGACAGCTTGTGGAGTTGAAAGTGTTTCTCTTTGTTCCCTTTAAGGCGTGGCTGTTGTGGGAACGACAGAAGTTCTGATCTTCTTCCCTCGTGATGTGGATCTGAGTTTAGGGTTAAAGGTTATATTCTTCTAGCTTGTGTGTCACAGATATGAAGCCATTGCATGTGGGTCAGGCTTTCAGCTTCCAGGTCGGTCTCCACAGGTTCCCGCCCTCCTCGTGCACACCAGATGTAAAATGATGTCCACGTGTTTCTGAAGCGCCTCTGAAACTCCTTCCTGCAGCTTGTCTCCTCCTCCTCCTCTTCCTCATCCTCATCCTCCTCATCCTCACTGCTAACACCTGCTTCCAGGCTCAATACAACACTATGCAACTTTGTACATTTTGCGTAGCGAGAACTTTATTATCTGATACACTGGTGCTAATAATTATTTCAAATGTTATATTTTTGTGTGAATGTTTTTTATCATGACATAGTGAGGAATGTGTTATTTGTGTAAATATATGCTTAAAGGATTCAGGAGCGGCTGCTTTTAAGAACGAGCGATGGCCCCCGATCACAATCACCTCCAGGTTCCATATATATAAATATCTGTGGTATTATTACTATCATATGCTTGCTTGTATACAAGGCTCCGTCGCTGCCTCACAGCGATGCCAATATTTCATTTGTGTTTCTGTTGGTTCTCGTAAGTGAACTGAATATTCTCATTTAGTTGTTTTGAGCTTTCAGGACCTCTGAACTGATCCGCTCGCCCTCATGGAGACTGTAAGCTCGGCCACTCGTTGCTATCCTAGTTTTAATTAGTGTTTTTGTGCCTTAATATAAAGTTCAGATTTAATCACGCTCCACTTTTTATCTCACACAAATGTCCTTGTGTGCTGAAGCAGGGTTTGAATATAGTTTGACATCAGGTCCTTATCAGAGAAAAGTGCAGCAGCCAATCAGCAGCTGCATGTCAAATATGCAATCATGCCTGCAGCTCACAGAGTCCTGACGTGAACCAGGAGACGTTGAGACCCCAAAGTGTGATGAGAGAGGTGTAGAGGAGGGTCTCCAGCTCATAGAAACTGCCGGATGCTAACCTGCATGTTGGGACATTCAAACAAACAGCACAAGTTGTGTTAAATAGCATTCATGCAGACGATGGTTTGGCAGATTTGGACAGTTTTGGGAGTTTATCGAGGAAGCTGAGTCCATTTCTGACCTAAGGATCAAATATTGCACTTCAGAGTCCCATACAACTTTCAAATCAACACAGAATTTATAACAATCAGCGAGGGACTTCAAATATGACCTCTTTCTGCAGGGCCGTGGGAAGTAGGGGTGCTGAGGGTGCTGCATCACCCCCTGGTGGAGGACAGGGGATCTGCACTTCCACAAGATATAAATACAAATATAATACAAAAAAAACGAATTTTCAGCCTTGATGTAACAACATTCATAATTAAGTAAAGATAACCCCCTTTTCACCCCGGTTACATTTTCCATTTGCCCTGTACGATGGGCGCTGTAGTGATGAAAGTGGGGGATGTTGGCTTATCAGGCGCCCGCAGCTCACAGCCAGAGAGAGAGAGAGAGAGAGAGAGAGAGAGAGAGAGAGAGATACCGGCTGGGATTGTTTTTAGCTTCTGCTGCACTAACGGATATAAGAAGCTGTTTCTACAATAATGTGGAGGGAGAGTTCTGTCCAGTCAGACTGAGAGGCTCGGTGAGGTAAAGGACTCTGAGTGTTTAGATAGTTCACTTTAGTCTAAGTTATCTCAGTGGGTCTCAAACGTTTTGATCACAATTTATGTAAACAAATATTTCCAAGGCACTCCTTTATAATTATTAGGATAAATAAAAACAGGTTTGAAATCATTCCAATGTATACTATAGGACAGTAAACCAATATTGTTTAAAACTGGAGTGATTTAAAAATATGCATGAATAAATAAATGTTAACTGGTAAAATAAGATATGAATGAACAACACAAATAAAATAAGTTACATGTATTTGTTATTGGCTATGGTAGGTTATTGGAAATGTTCACATACCTACTTATT